CTTTCACTCTCTCTGTTTTTTTTTATTTACTATCTTTTCCCATTCTTTTTTTGCTCTCATTTTTTCTTTCACGGCGTCATCGTCGTCGTCGTCGTCGTCGTCGTCGTCGTCGTCTCTCTCTCTCTCTCTCTCTCTCTTCGCCTCCCCTTTTTCTCTCTCGCTTGCTGGCTCTTACTCTCTCTCTCTCTCTCTCTGTTTATCTTTAATTAAGGATCACTTTTGTTACTAATTTTACTTTAATTTTATATTAAAATTAAAATTCATAAAAACATTATGAACAGCAGCTTAATGGACAATATGATCTATATGTCAAACCATTCATTTCACACATACGGTAAATGAGTGCCATCTATTGTCAAAAATATGAAAAGGAGATGACTTTTTGAGGCAATGACGTATCTTACATACGACATTTTGACATTTCGGATTTCGCATCACAATATCTCGGTTCATAGGACACGTACATGTAAAATAAATGCTTATTATATAATTCGGACCCAAGCTGTCGATTGAGCTTATATCCAGAACTTGATCAGTCTAGCCTTTTTTAAAAAACCGGTAATTTCGGATGCCCACAACTTGCTGACTCGCATAAAGGGGGGGGGGGACGGTCTCGCGCTGTGCTCCCACTTGGCGCGAAACACTACCGTGTTTCTTAATCAAAAACTCATATCGCTACCAAATAACGCTTACCGCGCATACATCAAGGCGTTATTAAATTGCTTTATCCACTTCATCTAACCTCCCGGAACGCGCATATGCCCGGTTACATAAACGGCACGTCAGACTGGTCAAATCCAAATACGGCGTTCGAGAGATGTGCGCAATAAAATTCGAGGAAATCGTGCGCTAGATCTCATAGGTCACTTTTATTGCGACGTTTTCAATCAAGATAAATTTTTAATTAATGGAGTGGAAGATAGAATGAGACTCGTATGTTCGAAAGATTCATTTTGCCTTATGGAGAGTAAAACAATATCAAATATTCGATGCTTTATTTACTTAAGAAGAATAAAAATAAGCCCGGGTGTGCTACTCGCACACCCAATGTTGAGTAAAACTACCGCCAAGTATCCCCTTACGAGAGTCGAAGTTAAAACATTCACGATACACGCTGGCGTAGTGGGGGAATCGATAGACAACGCAATATTCGGACAGCTGCCGAAACAAATAATAATCGGCTTTGTCGATAACAAGACATTTAACGGCGATAGAAAATTGAACCCGTTTAATTTCAAAAATTACGAAATAAATTTTTTTTCGTTGTACGTCAATGGCATGCAAATTCCTAGTAGGCCATTACAATCAAATTTTTCGAAAGACGAGCCGCTCTACATTGAAGCTTATCACACATTATTCTCGGGAACTGGTATTCATTTTCTGAATGAGGATAATTCTATAAGTAGAGATGATTACGCCAACGGCTACACTCTTTTTGCTTACTCCAGATATATCTGATCCAGATCTATCCGCTAATTGCGCAGGGCATTGGAATCTCGTGAAACACGGAAGTTTACGATTAGAAGTGAGATTTGAAAAAGCTCTTTCCGTGACTATTAATTGTATCGTTTATGCCGAGTTTGATAACGTTTTAAAAATCGACTTCTCGCGTCAAGTCATTGTCGACTTTTCCGGTTACCCTTATTACCCTACTGCTGCGAGAAAATTATTTTCCCTCACTACACATTTTTTTTTATCTAATTGCAAGATGACGAAAAAACTTCAGTCTTGCTCATGACACCGGCGCCGACGCCTCGTGACATAAAAAGAGTAGCGAAAATTCGAATATCATAATGAATATAGTCATCGACATACAAAATTTTCGCGATGTCGAAGAAAACTTTATTCCGAAAGAAGTGGCGATTCTTGCGATTAATGCGACGATCATCGAACACTGGATTATGATGCCGCCTTATCCATTTGGTGATTTACCCGAGAGAGTAAGACGTGAAAACAACTTACACGAAATTATCATTGAATCGAATGATTCGACGAAAACATTAATCTTAAATATTTTATTTTATTTTACTTTATAACTGCGAAACATTACATGCCGCACACGCTACATCTATAGCAGAAGACAAGAGAAGGCGCATTATTTGAGTAATCTACTTTCCAGAAACGTATACGAGTATAATCTGGAAGGAATTTCTCTGGCTTTTAAAAATCTATCAGATTTCAAAGAACGTGGACTGCATTGCACGCATCACAGAAAAATCTATCAGATTTCGAACCATTGAATTACATTGTGCTTTACGCAACGCTTACAAATTGAAACGTTGGCTAACTATACGAAATAGCAGCAATTCGAGCTACGATAGCCTTCCTTCAGAAAATTGGAGCGAGAGCGACGTCGAGAGCAAAAAAACAGACAGCGGAAATTTTTTAATTTAATTTTAAAATCAAAAACGTGATATATTTTGCAATATCGTGGAGGAAAAATATCGTGACAGAAAATCGGACCAAAACGAGAACAAACAAGCAACAGGCAAGGAGAAAAAAGATCTTCCAAAATTCGACCTGTCGACGGATAGAGATAAAGCTAACACTAGTGTTTCGCAAACGTCAAATTTTGAGAACTCTACAACGCACGGTAAAAGAGATAAATTCTGAATTTGCGCAAACATTTCCTTTCTCACGCACTCCGACGACGAGAAATAAATTCACTGGAAATTTTAAATGCATTACATCATCTCAGTGTTCAACATGCAGGGATCTGTCGACCGATTGCCATTGTCGCTAATACAGACGATCACGATTGACCTGGCCAGCACTGGATCGCCTTTTACATCGACGTACACGGACATGGAACATATTATATTTCGATACGGCTTGCCGCCCTTGGACTCAAGATTCCTTTTACGATTCCGAAACTTCATCACGTATAGCTGGAATATGACAACGCTGCAAGGAATACTTTCTCAAACTTGCGGGCAATATTGCTGTGTACGAGGTCTGGCTATTAAATAACGAAACTGCTTATGAAAAAGAGTTTTATTTTAAAAATTATTCTACAATTGAATGCTCCCCTTCAATGTACTCCCCTCCCCTCGCCACACCATTCCATTCGTTTTTTCCATTGGTCAAAGCAATGCTGGAAGTCTTCTTTTGTAAGAGCATTTAGGAGCTCCGCCGATTTTCGCTTCACCTTTTCCATCGACTCGAACCGG